CACCCGAGAAAATGGAGGCAGCGCTGGTGCCGGTGCCTAGCCTGGTGTGGTAGGTGGGAGCTGGACGGGCATTTGCCCCGCAAGCGGGGCTGGGCTGGGGGTCACTCACAGAGCTCACAGAGCTGGGCCGGTCAGGCGCCTTCCTCTCCATTTCCGTGTCGTCGCTGCCGTCTTTCTTGGCCTTTGTTGCCTCGGGCTGCTCACTCGGTCCCGCGGCTTGGGCGCTCTCAGGAATCTTCTTTTGTGTTGGCCCTAAAACCTCGAATCTGTAGTTGCTTTTTTGTCATTGTAGATTAGTTGATCAATGATTTATTCATTTTTTGTTGCTCTTGGAAATGCAAATAGTACTCTGGCAGCATGGAGCCTGTGCTTTTATTGTAAGATTATGCTGGATATTTTAGCTTTTTTCTCTTGGCAATAGGAACTACTTAATTTTACATTAAGAAGATTACATTGAAGTAATATGTATTGTTTTCTAACAGGTAATTAACTTAGGTAAACCTCTTAAAAACTTGGGCACAGCCACCTTGAATATTCAGTGGCCGAAAGAAATTAGCAATGGCAAATGGTTGCTTTATTTGGTGAAAGTAGAATCCAAAGGATTGGAAAAGATATCTTGTGAGCCACAAGGTGAAATAAACCTCCTGAAGCTAAAGGTATGTTGGTGGATTTATCTTATGCTTCATAGATGTAAATAAGCTAACTTTTGAGGAGAGGTCATTACTGTTCTTAGGCATTTTGACATGTTGACTTTTCCTTTGGTTGTCACAATTCCTTTTTTATAGTTGAGTAACCAAGTCAGGCTGAGGCATTTCTGCTGGTTAGTGACCATTGTGGCACATAAGGCAGACTCAGTCAGTACTTGAGACAAATGACACTTTCTGAAGTCTTATGACCAGTTTGATATATAAGGAGGACTGGGACATGCTCCTGAGAGTGGGCCAGCCAATGTTATCTCCACCAAACTCATTACAAATATATTGGCATCTTAGCAAATGACCTTGAAAGCTTTTCATTCTTTTTTCTTCTAATAGTAAATATTGAGTGCTTATGATGTCTCAGGCACTGTGCTAAGCATTTCATCTGCATTTTCTCATTTCATTCTCATGATAGTCCTATGAGGTATTTTTATCATCCCCACCATTTCACAGATGAGGATGTTGAGATTCAGAGAGATTAAGTGACTTTCTCAGAGTCACTCAGCTGTTAAAAGGCAGATTCTGCATGTAGGCTCTGCTTTGCCTGATTTCTAAGCCTGTGCTCCTAACCCCTCTCTGTACTGCTCCACAATTCTGTAACTGGCTTATTTATGCTCTGATTTGATGAAGGTTTGCTTTCTCATGGCATGCCTGTGTCTTTTATTTTAAATTCTAAGGTGACTGGGTATGATCGGTGTTCCTAGTTGGTGGCATATAGTATGATCCTTTACTTATCAACTTTAAAAAAACAAGATGGTCCATTATTCTTCATCCTTACTATAAGGAAAATGCAATCGTAAAAGTTCTAGATGGCTTAGTTTTCAGTGCTCTGCTCTAAATTAGTCATATAATGGGTGTTTTTTCTCCTTTCTCTGTTCTTCAGTGTCACTTATTCAAGATGTGCTGATTGTTCGCTGTATGTTATACCAAACTGGGTGCTAGGGATATAGGAATAAGATTTGATTCCTA